GTTCCCGAGATATTAACTTACCCGTGAACAACTTTCACAGGGCCGTACGTGTTACCCGCGGGTAAGAGAAGGCAGAATTTGAATGGGCAAGGGTGGACAAGGGGTCGTTGCCCTAAAACTTCAGCCTCCTAGACTACGAGGTTCCCGAGATATTAACTTACCCGTGACTTGCCCGTAAAAAACTTTCACGGGGCCGTACGTATTACCCGCGGGTAAGGGAAGGCTGAATTCGAATGGACAAGGTTGAGGGTGGGCAGGGGGCCATTGCCTTAAAACTTCAGCCTCCTAGACTCCGTGATTCCTGAGATATTAACTTACCCGTGAATAACTTTCACGGGGCCGTACGAGTTACCCGCGGGTAAGAGAAGGCTGATTTTGAACGGGCAAGGTTGAGCATGGGCAGTGGGTCATTACCCTGAAATTTCAGCCTCTTAGACTTCGTGGTTCCGGAGCATGGGCAGTGGGTCATTACCCTAAAATTTCAGCCTCCTAGACTCCGTGGTTCCCGAGATACTTTACTTACACGTAAAAAACTTTCACAGGGCCGTACGCGTTACCCGCGGGTACGGGGAAGCTGAATTTAAATTTGCGGAGTCACACGTGGGTGGGTGGGGAACGTTACCCTAAATTTTCAGCTTCCTAGCTTTTGTGGTTCCCGAATTGAAAGTTGCGGACAAGTTGCTGCGGACACACACACACAAACACACACACAGACAACCCCGTAACAATATGCGTTTTGTACTGCTGTTACACAGCACAAAACGCATAAAAAAGAATTCGCGCGACGGGACCAAGCTTCTATGCTACAATGAGATAAGGTATGCAGCTCTCCAAGTGACTGAAAAGAGTTCAAGCAATGCTTTCGGAATCATTAGACTCAGAAAGTATGAATCCTGGAAAGCTCTCGTCATTTCATTCACTCGGCATCTGGCCGACAGAAGAGTATCCAGCAACTGGAAGGAACTGAAAAACTGTTCAACTCTACAAAAAGGGTGATAAAGAAGACTTGATGAACTACTGTCCGATCTACTTACTCTTTAAAATTTGAAGTTTTTCACAAGAATTATTATCGGCCAGCGGGACAAACACCTTAATGAAAAGCAGCTGTGATAGCCAGTAAAATTTAGAAAGTGACTGCATCACGCCTGATAAACTTTCGCTCTAAACTAACTGCAAAGCATGCTGGCAATAGAATCGCCCTTTCCGCAACCTGTTCGCCAAAACATAAGTTTTTGGGCAACTACTAAAACTTGGCTTGGCTCGGCTCGGCCGATGCTATGCACAATTTGCGTTCGGGTGTTCTGACTCCGACGCGGCAAAGAACGTTGGGTGTCGCAGATGGGGTTAAGCGGGTCCCGGGCGTAGAGATTCGAGGCAGGGAGAGAGCTTGGATGGGTGGGTCAACTGGTTACGTGGCGTAGATCATTTGACGGTTGCCTAAACCATGGAAGAAAGAAAGAAGGGGGTGACAGGTGAAAAGGAGGAAATGTGCTGCTGGTTTTTGTCGCGGATGCTCGGGGTAAGAAAATGGCTGGGTGTTTGTTTCTAGAATGCTCACATAGAAGAGATGGAAAGAAGCTCAGATGTTGCTTTGCAGGCTGAATTTCAATACAAGTCAGGAGCCCAAGGCAAAATTGCAGACAACGGTAAAGGGAAAGAAACAAACAAAGCACTACATAAAAAGTAAATTAAGACAAACCTGAGTGCAGGAATAAAAGCAAG